TTAAGTACCTCCAAAATGAATTAGATTTGTACATAATAAGTCTAAATAAAATACATTTCAATTTTTATGGCTATCCTATTTTACATAATATAGAATATATGATAGATGATATGGTGTAAGAGTCAGAGCTGGAGTTAGATAACCCGTATTCAAATTGCAGTTCTATCACTCCTTACTGTTACTTCCAGCAAGTTATGTAACCTCTCCCATGCCTCAGTTTCCTGTAAAGTGGGATAACAGTTACATTTATAATCACAGGTTATTTTGAGGATTGAATATACATAAATTTGTGTGCCTATCACATTATAAGCAATAAATGTTAGCAAGTACTATTATTAATATTATAATACTAACTAGAGCTATAACTGGAAACGTCAATTAACCAGAATATTGGCAGCTTTCAGCTTCAACACAAAAAGCTAGCTAACAAAACAGCAAACTGGATGGTTTAGACTAATTTGCTGCTACTTCATCAATTTCAGTCTCCTTTGTCTTACAAATCCAGAGCCATAGTTCTCCACCATCAAAATAAAAAGATTTTGTCCCTGAAGTATTCTGATTAGTTGAGGCTTTATGTTAAAATTCTTTTTAAAGTTCACATCAAACAGATAAAAGTTCTCCCTAAACTAAGGGGCCAATTTAGAATTTAATTTTTAAATGAATTGAAAATAAATGTAAATGAAAGATCAGATTAACATGTCTTATTAAAGGAACAAAAAATAGCTATCACTTTTTTATGGTTAAAACCTTTATCTTTGTAACCTTTGAAAAAACTGTTTTAATAGAACTTTAAAACCAGGATTATGCACCTATCTGATCAGGATAAAACTGCCTTGGATGAGACATACAATGTCTTGCAGATAATACAAATCATTATCTTAAGGAAAGATCACTAAAATGTGTTTCATTTTACTCTAAATATAACATTGCAATCAAGAGCAAAAACCAGATTGTGAAAAACTGTGAAGGATAAGCATCTGGTTTCTTCAATAAATAAATTGCAAGGGAGAATAAAAAGAGAATAATGAGAAGAAACCAATGGATTAAAAGAGACCTTTTAAAATTTATTTTTTTAAAAAAAGAAAAAGGCAAAACTAAACTACAGGGATACACGCGTGGGTGATAAACTATAAACAAAAGTAAGGAAAAGATAACCACAAAGTCAGGATAGTGTTTGAGGAGGGAGGGCGTGGGTCTAGGAAGTAGCTCACGGAAGGGCTGGCTGAGCTGTGCTTCTTGAACTGGACAGTGGTTATACAGTGCTCACCTTTGGTAACTTCTGTGTCAGTGTTACATTTTACAATTAAAACGCTTTTAAAAATAAAATTACAAAATTTCACCAAAGCAGCTAGTACGTATTTTTTCATGCAAGTATATTCCTTTTCCCACGTTCATACTCTCAACCTTAAATCAAATGCATTGCCTCTGAAGTTTCACAAATGAAAGTTCCGTGACACCTGAGTAGAGCCATTTACTAGACTGGCTTCTAGCCATTGTTTAAATCTGGCGTGGTGATTTTAATTTTGCATCCTCAAGATCAAATATGACCACGTTTGTGCCAAAGGACAAAAAATGTTCTTACATACAGAGTTTTACTTTGATTTCATATACCCTTTCATTTACTTCAGTCCCAAGAGAAAAGCCAATTTAAAAAATATTCAGGGGCCGGCCCAGCAGCGCAGCGTTTAAGTTTGCACGTTTCGCTTTGGCAGCCCAGGGTTCGCCAGTTCAGATCCCAGGTGCGGACATGGCACCGCTTGGCAAGCCATGCTGTGGTAGGCACCCCACAAATAAAGTAGAGGAAGATGGGCACGGATGTTAGCTCAGGGCTAGTCTTCCTCAGCAAAAAGAGGAGGATTGGCAACAGATGTTAGCTCAGGGCTAATCTTCCTCAAAAAAAAAAAATTCATAGGGCTCTTAGGGAAAGTGTTATGGGCTGAACTGTATTCTTTCTAAATTCATATGTTGAATTCCTAACCCTCAGTACCTCAGAATGTAACTGTATTTGGAGATAGTCTAAAGAGGTAATTAAGTTAAAATGAGGACATTATGGTAGGCCCTAATCCAATGACAATGCCCTTCTAAAACGAAATTAGGGCCTAGATAAATACAGAGGGAGACGATGTGAAGACACAGGGAGAAGACTGCCATCCACAAGCCAAAGAGAGAGGCCTCAGAAGAAACCAACCTGGAAGACCCCTTGATCTTGAACTTCTAGCTTCCTGAATTGTGACAAAATAAGTATCTGTTGTTTAAGCCGCCCTGTCTGTGATAGTTTGTTATGGCAATCCTAGCAAACTAATATAGAAGGTAAAAGAGAAGCAAAAATGTTTAAGGTTTTTTTTTAAGGTAGTAGAGGGAAGGAAAAGTATGCAGTATTACAACAGTACAATTTTATTTGATTCATAATGTATAGTGAAAAGAAAAGCTTAAGAAAATTCTGAGTCATAAGGAAGGAAAGGAGAACTTAACAGACTCCATGTGGAAAGAAATACCTCCCAAAGAGCTAAGCACAGAAGGCAAGACACAGGGAACCAGCAGGAAAATAACTGGCTACTGACTGAATTGAAGGGGCAGGATTCAATGTTTTCAGTGTGGTTTCTGGAAAAATCTCAGGGGAGAATTCTGAGTTAAATTTTATAAATGGACTAGAAACAAATGGAGGTGATGGATGAGATCAAGCGGTTTTCTTAAAGAGAGAAAGGTCCTCTGGCCCTAGGGTTTGAATGAAGTTTAGATTTATCATCTCTCTACTTTGAGAGGCTTAGGGGTTAGGCAAACCATCATCAAAGAAAATGCAATTCTCAGGTTGGAAAATCAGCAGAGATTGTGCGGTAAAGTCAGTGTTAGCTATACCCGGGGAGCCTAATGATCTCAGAGTGGAGTACACTTTGTTGATTTAGTGCAAGTTTCCTGAAAAGGGATGTCACTGTAAAGATGGTAGATAGTTGTTTGCTGGATCTTACCACCTTCCATGCTCATATTTGCATTTCATTGTTCCACTGACAGACCTAAACAGAAACAGATAGTGGACTGCCTGTTTCCTTTCGTCTTTAATCTAACACACATTGCATTCAGAAAAGCATCATACAAAATAGAGAAGTGAAGCCAAATATACAAGGATGAGAATAAAAGGAGACTGGAGATTCTAAATCTAGGTAATTTTTTTTTCCAACTATAAGCAAAATGGCTCCATTCTCCTATGTCATACCTAGAAGAATCCCATATCTGTTCCTGCGGTAAGGCAATGATATAAATCAATCAACCATTCAATTAGTTTTAACAAATTTAGAATAACTTTCTGGAGGGACTGGCATAATTAGTATATCAAGATCACTTGTAAAAATTAACAGATTTTCTTTTAAGTCTTTCCAGTTAGAGAAATATAGATGTATAAAAATGTATTTATTAAAGAAATACCCCAACGTCTGTAATTTGCTTTAAAATACCACACACACACATACACACATAGATAGAGAGAAGAGATTGTCAACATGTTTATAACTGTTGATGCTGGGTAATGGTTATGTGGGAGTTCACTGTAGTACTCTTTTTACTTCTGTATACAGTATGTTTGAAATTTTCCCGAATAAATAGTTTTCATTATTTTAGTTAACATACAATTGAAAAACCCAATTCCCTTCATGTTGTCACTTGACTAGGAAATGTAATTTATTTTGGTTACTGGTAACAGAGTTTAATTTGAATAAAAAGCTTTATTACAGTAATATATTTAAATTGAAAGCAGTGAATATAGACTTTAAGGAAAATAACTTGAGAAAAAGTTTACAATATGATACAATGTTTAGTTTTAAAAAGCAAGACACAATACTGTAGATATATACGATACCAATTATGTAAAAAGTGAAAATATAAACATATGCACAGGACAGAAAAACACTAGAAGGAAACACAATAAAATGAAAATAAAGTTTACCTCTCAGTGATGAGTTTATGCATGACTTTTCCTTTTTTGATATATTTTTCTCTACTTACAAGTTCTCTAAAATGAGTACGTGTAAAACTTATAATCAAAAAAGGAAGCAAATACATATAAATGGCATTATAATTCTGAGAAGGCAGAACAGATTGCACACTTTTCAGAAGAAAATAAACACTTAGCTAAAAACTCACAGTATTGTACATCGGGCCTAAAGAAACCATTACGCAGGGTCTGGTCTCATACGCCCTCAAATTACATCATCAGTAGACTGGAAAAAATATGCACAGTCTTATGCCTGTAATTGGAAGAAGCTTTTATTTGTGTGGAATCTTTTCAGAGCTTACCTGACAAGAACCAGTATCCTGAGATTTCTGTCTCTAGGGATTTAAAACTCCCTGAGACTTCCCTTTAGACCTAATAAGTTTATAATTTTTCCAGAGGAAGTCTTTCCCAATTGAATGCAAAGCTGTGCACCGATCTTGGACCCAAGATTTCACCTCTTGGTTCTCAGTGCTAACCTTAAAGACAAATTTCAGAAATTATTCCCTGTGACATCATCTAGAAGAGAACTACTTGCAGCTAGCTATACTAATCTCACAAAATGTAACTCCAATGGGGTGGGCCCCGTGGCCCAGTGGTTAAGTTCGTGCACTCTGCTGCAGGCAGCCCAGTGTTTTGTCGGTTCGAATCCTGGGCGCAGACATGGCACCACTCATCGAGTCACGCTGAGGCAGCGTCCCACATGCCACAACTAGAAGGACCTACAACTAAGAATATACAACTATGTAGCAGGGGGCTTTGGGGAGAAAAAGGAAAAACATAAAATCTTAAAAAAAAAAAATGTAACTCCAACAATTCCTATAGGACACCAAGTATTCTTTTTCTTTAACTGAAGGGGTTTCTTTTTTTCACAAGTGGGTGATACACTTTCTTGATGAATTCTGAAATACAGAACCCCAAAACTGTACATTAGAAGGATCACTGAAAATTAAAATCATAATCAGTACTGAAAAGATTCTCAAAAGATTTCCCCAAGAAGGAGGAAAATTTTACTTACTTTAACTTCCACAGTCTTCCCTCCATATTCGATGTGTCTCTCTATGTATCCAGAGGACAGCAAATCACTGCAACAAAAGAAATGATGAGTAAAGAGGACCTTGAAAATGTAAGTCATTTGAAAATGGCCATCATTTATACATACCAGCTTTAATGATTCTTTACTCCAGATTTTAAAACAAAAACAAAACTTTATAGATCTCTCTTTCTCTCTCTCTCTCTCTCTCTCTCTCTCTCTCTCTCTCTCTCTCACACACACACACACACACACACACACACACACACACACACAACCTAGTACTTCTAAAAGGATACAAGGTTAAAATGAAGAAATCACCCATCATTCCATTGCTTAGCAGAGCTGATTCCACTGATCAGGTTCAGCAATTCTAGGCAACTACCATGAGCAACCATTATTTTTAAGACATTTTATTCTTCCTTTTTTACTTTGGCCTTTTATCAAATAGGTTTGATTTGCTACCATACCTTACCATTTTGAATGTGCTATGTGTGATATTTTATCTAACAAAATACTAGCTTCCATCGCACCAAAAAATTAAAAACTGGTAAAGAAACTTAGAAGAAACTAAAGAAATATACCTTCATCATTTTATTTTATTTTTTTGGTGAGGAAGATTGGCCCCGAGCTAACATCTATTGCTAACCTTCATCTTCTTGCTTGAGGAAAATTGTCGCTGAGCTAACACCTGTGCCAATCTTTCTCTATTTTGTGAGTGGGATGCCACCACGGCATGGCTTGATAAAAGGTGTGTAGGTCCACACCCGGATCCAAACTGGAGAACCCAGGGCTGCCAAAGCAGAGAGTACAAACTTAACAACTATGCCACGAGGCCGGCCCCTATCTTCAGCATTTTAAAACAATCTCTTTTGAAATCTCTCCTGAACAACAACCTTCTTGTATAATTTTTAAATGTTTACATCATCTTAAATATGCTTCTGTTTAATTCCATAAATGTGAAAAAAATTTCCCCTTTCATGGAGGTACCTCAAGACACAACTTCCTCAAAAAGTCTTAAAGTCTTTAAATTTTTAAAGTACTAAAATATAAATAAAATTAACATTAATAAAAATAATACAAGAAACTGTAAATTTCTAAATCTACTACGCTATTAAGAGACATTCAGCCAACCAAAAAAACTTTTTCCTAGTGTTCTGAAGGTCACCAAGCCAAAATTGTCCCAATCATTAAAAACGTGAATTTCTGAGCACACAGGCCTACCATGATAAGCACCATGCCTACAGTTGCTTGAAATGTAAACAGAATGATCAAACAAACGTTACAGTCCTGCAGGGCCCATAATCAGTTTCCTATAGTATCTGATGCTTACATTACCACTTAGGAAACCTATAATCATAGTCTAAGTCCTTGTTTCATTTATCTTTGGAATATATTTTCCTATCGACTTTATGGGGGAACCAGCTATGATGCTCTAAGCTGCAAGTTGCAGAAAACACAACTAAAAGCGGCTTAAAATCAGGACATTTATATCCTATTTCTTATTAGAAATTCTAGGGCAGGTGTCATGTGAATCTGCTTTTGCAAATCTTCAATTCCTGTAGATGAATAAATTTGAAGTTTATAAAATATAGGCAAACACTTTTAAGATGTTTTAAGTATAGACACACAGCTAGAAAGCAAAATTTTATTAGACATGGGCAGAATGCATAGGATGTGTAAATTACAAGTAAGAAGATCATGTACGTGTTCCACATTGATAGAAAGGGATGGATGACCAAAAGATACCTAATATTCATGAGGCACCTGGGTAACAAATGTCCACGACATAATAAACATACAAGAGACACTAAAATATCCAGGATACAGTACACATAAGCCCTTGATATTTACGAGGTCTTAATCCAACCACCTATTGGTGACACCCAGGGTGTCTCAACTTCCACACTACTGACATTTCAGGCCAGATAATTCTTTGTCTTGGGGAGCGTCTTATGCATTGCAGCATGTTTAGCAGCACCCCTGACCTCTACCTACTAGATGCCAGCAACATCACACACATACAGACACACCAGTCATGACAATCAAAAATGTCTCCAGACATTTCACTGGGGGGTAAAATCACCCTGATTAAGAATCCCTGCTGACACCCATTCCTGCCCTATGTTTTCTCAGACAAAACAGACAAATAGAATTCATGACTGTTCATCAAGCTAATTCGCAGGGTACCACTCCTGACCAAGCATAGTTGTCCCTGTGACTCTCAGATACAGCAAGTGGCTGTCATTAGCTCAGGCTACCTTCCATCCATGAGGCTTGCCCAAACCTCAGCTCTGGTCCTTGTAATCACACCATCAGCAGGGAAGGTAGAGGCAGCAGAAAGAGAAGCAGGACATATGAACACTGTGTACTCCAGGATTAGCTGGAATGTCCTTCCACTGCACTTGCACCCTATCCTAAGTGTGCTAACCTACCCATTTCTTTCCTCTTGCTTTAAATTTAAACTTTAAACTAATTTAGCAAACCATGTGATTTGAAGATTTTAATTTGGTCTGTGGGGGCTTGCTGTTCCCTTACTTCTGGGATAGCTTGCCTGGTGGTATACTTGTAGGCAACCACTGGATCAAAGAAATTTTCTATCCAACAACAGGGCAGTTCCAGCACCATTAATGAAACCAGGAGTAGGTTCATGCCTCCGCTCTGCCATCAGAATGGTGGGTGGCCTATTCTCTTAACTGGCACCTCTCATGACCCTAACATGGCTGCCGCAATTCTAAGCATCCCATGCAGATAAAAATATCCCAAGGTAAAAAAGCCTTCTATTTCTTTAAGAGTCAGTAAACTTTTCACGAAAAGCCCCTAGCATTCATCTTCCCAAGTATGTTTTGCCAGAATTACATTACCGGTCACACCAAAGCCAATCCTTTCACAGAGACCTTTGTCTTTGAACAGTCAAGGTTCTCCTCCCCCGTGGCCTCCCATGGACATAACTACTCACAAAGAATTGAACAATATTAGGGGGAAGGAGAGTGATAGAGAGAATAGCTGTTGTACAGCCAACTGATAGTTGTTGTTTTGTCATGGGTGTGTCACATATTACACAAATTTCCAAAGGCTTCTAACAAAATAGTGAAGCTGCATAGTAAAAATCTGCCTCAAGCAAAACTTGTCATTGCTCTACCATCCATACCTACCCTGTTATCCAAAGCCATGCCTCAAACAGGAGAGGCACTAGCCAGATGTTGGCAAAAGACTGTCCCCTAACCTTGCTATCAGTCTCAAACAACTTCCTCAGAAGTGGGAGAGAAAAATTACCATACACAGGTAGTGTTTATTAGCAGAGCCAGCCAGGCTCCCTCTCTTGGGAATCTGAACTACTAAAGTGAGAAAAAATCAACCAGCCGATGAAGGAAAGAGAAACAGAAAGTCAAAAATAAGCAGACACTTGAGAGAAACTGAGTTGCGCCAGTGGTGAATACCAGAGTGAAAGCCTCAAGTCTCTGCTGCTTAAGAGCCCATCCCTGAGGCTGGATATCCTTTCTCCATCTCTGCCACATGAGTCAACCCCCACCAGAACTTTTGAGTCTTCCAGGTTTTCAAATTTCAAGGGAATATTTTCCTTTGAATTATAAAATCTAGGAATTACAAGAGTATGAGTCACCACAGGAATGTAATTACAACAGAGAAAACTCAGCTCAGGAATTATCAGCTATTTCAATCAAGCCTCTTTACCTACAAGTATTGCTGGAAAGAGCTCAATGTAATTTAAACAAAAAACAGCCCATGCAATTTGGTTTTTTTTGTTTGTGGTATTGTAGAAGTCTGCTAAGTATTGTTATTTTAATTATTAGGCTGAAAAACCTTCTATCTAAAATGTCACTTTTTCCTCTACTAAAGCATGAAATCCTTACTATCATCAACTTAGAACCTAAGTAAATTTTCTTGAAGTCTCCTAAAGTAGAGATAATCAAAACTATCTTACATTCTTTTCCTTAGATCATTTATTGTTAAGTAGGGATCTACTTAAATAATTTTAAGTGTATAAAAATAGAAGATCTCTTTAACATGGGAAATTTTATTTTTCTGTAAATTGATAGGGTAGAATTCACTCCATGTTAACAGCTTACTCAAAGTTGATGTGTGAATGCTTCTTTGTGAATTCTGAAAGACAAAAATGAAAATCATTTTCAATCAAATACTAAAGGCCACTCATTTTCTAAAGCAAGTAAGGAGATGTTTTTAAAACTAGAAATGTATTCCGAGGGCTTTTTTTTCATTTGCGTGCCATAATAAGCCTGGAATAAGCAAAACAAATACAATGTAAACATTTTCAGTCATAATAATGATTATCCCTTGTCTTGCAGGCAACTGTCATGAATCAGAGGCAGCTGGTATAGTACAAAGGTTTTGGAATTTAAAAACAAAAGCAAATATTTTTATTTCCTATTCAAACTCTGCCATTTACTAGCTGCGTGACCTTGGCCAAGTTATTTAATCTTTATGAACATAATTTGTCCATGTCTAAAATGGAGATAATAAAAATTTATTTATAAAGTTGGCAGGGGATTAAACCAGACAAATGTCTCCCAAATTCTGCTTTCAATCACCCCACTCCCTATTCATCACCTCCTACCCATCTTTCTCTAGAACTCTTACTTCAACTGTTTGGAAACTTTTAAACCATTGTCCCTGCCTACCACTTTTTCACTGTCCTTCACTGCCTCTTCCATCTAATTTGTTTATATTCCATGATCCGTCATAATAATCACTCCCTTGTACGCACTCTAACTTCCTTACTCCTCTTTCTCCACTAAATTCACTTGGCCAAACCTCAAGCATAGCAAAACTTACCTCTTCTACTAATCAAAGTCTGACCCCAAGAAGTAGAACATCCTGAAAGGTCATATATTGAATTTATGACCACAATTACCAAGCAGTTCCCCTTAGTGCCACACTGCTATAAGTCCACTACATTTTCCTGGTCAATTTACTCTAAGACCCTTCCAAGCTTTTCTAACCTCAAATCTCCAAAGGATTTCCTCATCATCACTCCCTGCTGATGTCCTCACTTCTGAATTCACAGAAATGGAA